TTGAGCCGGTGTTGGTACTGGCGAAGGACCATTGAGTAGCCACTGCGTAGTTAAGGCAGAGTACGGCGAGTGACCCTCGGAAGTTGTTGTTCTGAGGCCGAAATCGGAGGTGGATAGCCGCCCAAAAGGATCGTGGGGTGAAAACCTCGTTTTTCCTCGACAACGGCTCTCTGGTGAAGACGCTGGAAGCCTGTCTTGGTGGCAGAGCCATCAACAGGTAGATCTGAGAGAGAAGAGGCGACAGCTTCCTTGTGGAGAGCTCGAATAGACGGCCGAACGTTGCGATTGGGCTCAGGGGCGTGGCAACGATGATGATTAGGATGGCCGGGTTGCGAACAGTTGCCCCTGAAATGCTGGCCTAAGGGTGTGTTGTGAGGGGTGACCGGCAGGATAGAAGCCTCTGCATGAAGGTGATCGATAGGCGACATTTTATAGCAGCCCGTGATCGTGCGGAAGACTGCGTTCTGTGCTGACTGAAGGCGGTGGAGGCTGGAAGAACTGATGTTGTGAACATAATCGAAATCGATGGTAGAACTGTCGTAGAAACGCATATGATCGCGAAAGGTTCCTTTTTTTTCTTACAATCCCGGTGATATTTTATGTTTCTCTTGTTATTTCAGAATACCATGAAAATTGCGGAACGCTACAACCTCGGCCTCGATTTCCGCACGGCCTCCTACATCATGGCCATCGAGAAAATCTTCTTTGTCCTTCATGGTTCAGGGCTACTTTTTGGTTGAAATTATCTGGCCACACCCCCTCGCCGCTAACCATTCCCCTTCCTCAGTCAGGGTCTCAGCTTTGAAACTCCCTTCTTCTTAAGCGCCTTCTCGTTGAAGGTGACGTGGACAACCCATATCACCATCACATAGGCCTCTATTTCAATTATTATTAATCCCCTTTTGCTTTGCCTTCGGGTGGATGGAATCAGTGGAAGACATAAATTCCATTTTTATGTACTTTTCTCCTACCGTTTTTTCCACCTCATACATCCTACTTTGGAGGCGCTATGTCTGTAGCTTTTGGGATTAAGTGAGATTTGGTCGTTGGTGCACGATCTATACTACACATTGCTATCTGTGTGTTGAGCGTCAGTTGGGTTTCTGACATTAGTCGGTTACAGTAGACGCTGCCGTTTTCGCCGCTATGCGAGGTGCGCCTTCTAGTCGATTTCAAACCTCGAACTGTTGCAGACTAAGTAAGTATCCAGACTGCAAGACTTTATGTCGGTTTTACACACCCGGGTCATCAAGCCGTGCAGGTGCATCGCCGGAAATGTAATAACGAGTCTCTCACCTGACCTCACCGTCGGTCTTCTCGACTCTGTCATGACGCCAGAGACAGGTGGCTGAGGGAAGAGAGAGTGCGGTAGATGCAGCGCAAGGCTACTATCTCTTGAAGTTAACTCACGTGCAAGTCACCGTGTTTGCGTTCCGCCTGCTGAAACAGGCGGTGGAAGTTGACGGTGGAACTGTCGTATGTAACGATTCCTGTTGCTCCCCCAAAATCTACGAGGTTAAGGCATCCTTCACTGCAAAAATATGCGTACATCCGAGGCTGTTCACCCGTGATCGGACTCTTCTCCTTTATTCGAAAGAAACCGTTAAGAACGTATGTCCCACCCCCTAGGTAGTCTACTGTATCTGTTGCAGTTTCTGCGATGAAAATTACGATGTCAGAATTGGAATCAATATGATTTTGCTTTATCGTCGGGACCGGCGCACCCTGAGCCTTGACAAAACAGAAGTCATCTGCGGAACCAGAAACGGGAATGTGGGGTAACAAAAATGTGGTTCTTGTGGCAGCCCAGTAGGTCGGTGTGTTTATCTGAACCAGTACAATGAGGCGAGGTGCATCGGGGGACGTTTGCGCATGCTTCATCCCTGCGTGTTATCTCATCAGTGGTGAGTAAAAATCGCATCTTAACCGCTGACAGTGAGGATCTGGAATCCACGTTCACTCGAATTCTTCAAATATGGGAAAACGCTAACGAGGAGACGAGTAGT